TTTGTTATCAGGAGTAATAAGGAGGTGATCGAGTTATAAGGAGGTGTTATCAGGAGTAATAAGGAGGTGTTATCAGGAGTTATAGGGGTGTTATCAGGAGTAATAAGGAGGTGTTATCAGGAGTAATAAGGAGGTGTTATCAGGAGTTATAAGGAGGTGTTATCAGGAGTTATAAGGAGGTGTTATCAGGAGTAATAAGGAGGTGTTATCAGCAGTAGAGAGGAGGTGTAATAAGGAGGATATATGTACCTCTGTGGGGCTCTGAGGTCCAGTGGAGGCTTTGCATCCGAGCTGTTATCAGGAATAATAAGGAGGTGCTATCAGGAGTAATAGGGAGGTGCTATCAGGTGTAATAGGGAGGTGTAATAAGGAGGTGTTATCAGGTGTAATAAGGAGGTGTTATCAGGAGTAATAAGGAGGTGTAATAAGGAGGTGTTATCAGGTGTAATAGGGAGGTGTTATCAGGAGTAATAAGGAGGTGTAATAAGGAGGTGTTATCAGGTGTAATAAGGAGGTGTTATCAGGAGTAATAAGGAGGTGTTATCAGGTGTAATAAGGAGGTGTAATAAGGAGTAATAAGGAGGTGTAATAAGGAGGCGTTATCAGGAGTAATAAGGAGGTGTTATCAGGAGTAATAAGAAGGTGCTATCAGGTGTAATAAGGAGGTGTAATAAGGAGGTGTTATCAGGTGTAATAAGGAGGTGTAATAAGGAGGTGCTATCAGGTGTAATAGGGAGGTGTTATCAGGTGTAATAAGGAGGTGTAATAAGGAGGCGTTATCAGGAGTAATAAGGAGGTGTTATCAGGAGTAATAAGGAGGTGTAATAAGGAGGTGCTATCAGGTGTAATAAGGAGGTGTAATAAGGAGGTGCTATCAGGTGTAATAGGGAGGTGTTATCAGGTGTAATAAGGAGGTGTAATAAGGAGGCGTTATCAGGAGTAATAAGGAGGTGTTATCAGGAGTAATAAGGAGGTGTAATAAGGAGGTGTAATAAGGAGGTGCTATCAGGTGTAATAAGGAGGTGTAATAAGGAGGTGCTATCAGGTGTAATAGGGAGGTGTTATCAGGTGTAATAAGGAGGTGTAATAAGGAGTAATAAGGAGGTGTAATAAGGAGGTGTAATAAGGAGTAATAAGGAGGTGTAATAAGGAGGTGTTATCAGGTGTAATAAGGAGGTGTAATAAGAAGGTGCTATCAGGTGTAATAAGGAGGTGTTTTCAGGTGTAATAAGGAGGTGTAATAAGGAGGTGTTATCAGGTGTAATAAGGAAGTGTAATAAGGAGGTGTAATAAGGAGGCGTTATCAGGAGTAATAAGGAGGTGTAATAAGGAGGTGTAATAAGGAGGCGTTATCAGGAGTAATAAGGAGGTGTTATCAGGAGTAATAAGGAGGTGTAATAAGGAGTAATAAGGAGGTGCTATCAGGAGTAATAAGGAGGTGTTATCAGGAGTAATAGGGAGGTGCTATCAGGAGTAATAAGGAGGTGTAATAAGGAGGTGTTATAAGGAGTAATAAGGAGGTGCTATCAGGAGTAATAAGGAGGTGTAATAAGGAGGTGTTATAAGGAGTAATAAGGAGGTGTAATCAGGAGTAATAAGGCGGTGTAATAAGGAGTAATAAGGAGGTGTTATAAGGAGGTGTTATCAGGAGTAATAAGGAGGTGCTATCAGGAGTAATAAGGAGGTGTAATAAGGAGGTGTAATAAGGAGTAATAAGGAGGTGTAATCAGGAGTAATAAGGCGGTGTAATAAGGAGTAATAAGGAGGTGTAATAAGGAGGTGTTATCAGGAGTAATAAGGAGGTGCTATCAGGAGTAATAAGGAGGTGTAATAAGGAGGTGTAATAAGGAGTAATAAGGAGGTGTAATCAGGAGTAATAAGGCGGTGTAATAAGGAGTAATAAGGAGGTGTAATAAGGAGGTGTTATCAGGAGTAATAAGGAGGTGTAATAAGGAGTAATAAGGAGGTGTTATCAGGAGTAATAAGGAGGTGTAATAAGGTGTAATAAGGAGGTGTAATAAGGAGGCGTTATCAGGAGTAATAAGGAGGTGTAATAAGGTGTAATAAGGAGGTGTTATCAGGAGTAATAAGGAGGTGTTATCAGGAGTAATAAGGAGGTGCTATCAGGAGTAATAAGGAGGTGTAATAAGGAGGTGTTATCAGGAGTAATAAGGAGGTGTTATCAGGAGTAATAAGGAGGTGTAATAAGGAGTAATAAGGAGGTGTAATAAGGAGGTGTTATCAGGAGTAATAAGGAGGTGTTATCAGGAGTAATAAGGAGGTGCTATCAGGAGTAATAAGGAGGTGTAATAAGGAGGTGTAATCAGGAGTAATAAGGAGGTGTAATAAGGAGTAATAAGGAGGTGTTATCAGGAGTAATAAGGAGGTGTAATAAGGTGTAATAAGGAGGTGTAATAAGGAGGCGTTATCAGGAGTAATAAGGAGGTGTAATAAGGTGTAATAAGGAGGTGTTATCAGGTGTAATAAGGAGGTGTAATAAGGAGGTGTTATCAGGAGTAATAAGGAGGTGTTATCAGGTGTAATAAGGAGGTGTAATAAGGTGTAATAAGGAGGTGTAATAAGGAGGTGTTATCAGGAGTAATAAGGAGGTGTAATAAGGAGTAATAAGGAGGTGTAATAAGGAGGCGTTATCAGGAGTAATAAGGAGGAGATCTGTACCTCTGTGGGGCTCTGAGGTCCAGTGGAGGCTTTGTATCCGAGCTGGAGGAGCATGGCCTCCGCTGCGTTCCTCTTGGCCACCTTCTTGTTGGGTCCTGTTCCCGTGGCAACCTCGCCGTTCACCTTCACCTGCAGACAGGTGAGCACACACGTGAGATAAAGAAACATCCAGAATGGTTATATTTTCTGATTTATAAATGAATGTAATGGCTGTTCAGATATATGTGTGTGATAATGAATGACTATAATGATATAGGTTGCTCTGACATCATAAAAAAGTCAAAGAATATTAAATATTAATAAATTATTTTCCACTTTCATCAAGTAAGATCTTCTAACTAACATGAGTCCTAACCAAAACTACCAAAAATACATTTATTTCTTAACTTTTAACCCCTTTAAATGTCCCTTTCTACAAACATGTAATTATCTTCTTAATACTGAATGTCGGGAGTCGGGACCCCCTTGAAAACGAGATGGTGCATCTCAAGGGGTTTATCCCAATCAATACAAATGTCTATATATATATATATGTAGGGGAATTTGTACTCCTTATGTGATTTGTACCAAGGATTATCAAAAGAAAAATAGTTGTAAAATGTTATATATTCATCATATTATAGTATAGTATTAGTTTATTAGCCCCTGAGGGGAAAATGGGTTGCAGCACATCACAGAGGCATTTAAAAAGTGAAGACAATACATCACTGACAACAACACAGACACAGATCAAAACAAACAGACATAAGAAAACCAGATATCGGCAGACATGACAAGGCGCCTATCGGCCCTCATTTGCGAAATAGGGGGGACAGGGCCAGACCAGCTGGGTAAACAGTGCGTTCTAGCCATCATTGATTCAGGGGTTTGATGGTGGGACGGGTGGCGCAGTGGTCTGTGCATCTGATCATCAGATCAAGGGGGTGCTGGGGAACTCCAGTTCGAAACCCGCTCCTGCCGCCACTGCGTCAGGCCGTTGTGTCCTTGGGCAAGACACTTCACCCAGATTTGCTCCTGTGGGTAATGTCCACAGTCATGTATGATACTAATGTGTACTTGTAAAAGCGCCTCGATGACTTCGCGGCGTGAAGATGGACGGTGTGGCGCAGTGCGCTGTGCAATGATCATCAGATCAAGGGGTGAAACCCGCCGCTGCTGCGTCTGTAAAGCCGTTGTGTCCTTGGGCAAGACACTTCACCTGAACTTGCTCCTGTGGGTATTGTCCACAGTGACCATTGCATGTATAAAAAAATATGTGTAATGTGTATTTGTAAAGCGCTTTGAGCATCTGGAAAAAGCGCTATAATAAATGTAAGGAATTATTATTATTGATGGCTTGTGGGACGAAAGACAGCCGAGATCTGTTCTTTTTGAAATAAGGGGCACGATATCTCCGCCCGGATGGCAGCAGCTCAAAGTAAGAGGCAAGAGGGTGCCTCAGGTCACTCACAATATTGTGTGCCAATTTTAAAAACTCTGTCCTTATATAAGCATTCTATATTAGCAAATATGCTCTACTTTAGAGCTTCATCAGTCCAAAATATCCATACATTTTAAGAATTAGTTCCATTTTAGATAATGCCACTGGTATTCAAAATAAAACAAAAACATTAAATTATCTTCTATATCTCAGGTTTTGATGCATTTCTATTTTTTGTGCAGGAAACTGGAGAAAACATGGCTCATAATCGATTATAATCAAAGTGCCGGGCTCTAGATGTAATAGAAAGCAGGATTTAATGCTGTGGGATCAAAATGTGTTTCCATTGATATGTCTTAGTGGCAAGACACTTTATTACAGAGGCTGAAAATTGAAATATAAAATCACTGCGTTGCCAAAATGTTTAAAAATCCCTAAAATCATGATTTCCCGTCACTTTCATTCACTCTCCTCCTCTAACGCTGCTCCGTACGCTTTGCATCCCGCAGAAATGCCGCGAGTGAAGTGTTTGTTTTCCATTGATCCCAAAACATTAAATCTGTCGGCGCAGAATGTAAGCAGAGGAATTTCCAAGAGAATATCAGCCGTCGTTGTGTTATGCAAACAGACAATTACACTGAACAAATAACACGGTGCGAGCCAGAGCCTGTGAACAAGCTGCTGGAACATCGAGGAGGCGAACAACCAGGGGGAGAGACGGGAGAGACTCATCAATTACAGAAAAGCAAAAATAAACAGTTGCTTTTTATCAAATTCTTACAGATGATCACACAGCATCACATTCATCTCAGGCTGCAGGCTTTCTCTGTAAGTGACTCAATAAGAGAATCATTTGAGCCGTGCGGAGGAAACAATGTGGACATTTTAGACGAAGGAGAACACACACTCTCTCAGGGCCTAATGTGAGTATCAAAGAGACGGGGAGAATAGGTCTGAGGCTGAATTACTGCTCTGAAGAGGAGGATTACGGAGAAGAGAGACAAAGGGCGAGAGTTTGACTGGGAGAGGCGGACGAAGGAAGACGAACAGGAAGCGAGGGACAAAGACGAGTGCAGTTTAAAGGTTGTGCATACATTAAAATGGACTCCAAACTGCGCGCAGCTTGAGACACTCTCAGACGGGAAGCCAACTTGCAAAAGAGTCAATTTGTCCTTTTTTCGCCATCTCTGCAGACTGCAGTGACCTTGTGATCCTGACAAATTCAAAACATCAGCATGTACAAAATACCCCGATTCATGCCTGGGAACTGATCGTTAAAGCATGCAATTACGTTAAAAGGGCCGTTTTTCTTATCGTCTCCAACATGAAAAATATACTTTGGGGTAATAACGTAGCTTTTGCAAATCTATAAAAAACCAAGGAGATAAAACAGAGAAAGGAAAAGCCAGTTGTTTTATTAAAAACTAAGAAGATCAGACGAGGAAAATGCTGCAGTGTTGGCCAAATCTCTGCAGGGAATACTCTGTGATTTATGCTCTGCTTTTGGAAATGCATTATTTGAAATGGAATTCATCCAAAAGTTAAACATACTTCAATTTCTACACTTTTACCAGCTAGTTGCCTGCAGTAAAGGCTCCCTAGCATCTCAAAACTCTTTAATAAACGTAAAGGAGAATTAGGCGCTTTCACACCGGAGTACTTTTACGTTTAGTTCCGATAGTTCCTGGGATTTTGCGTTCACACCAAAAAGAGAACTTAGTTCATGAGAACTTTTCCCCCCTTTTAAGTCCCTGCTAGAGAGCAGGTACTTTCCTGGGGGGAAAAAAGTTCCAATTTCTATTGGCTGGGCGAATTGCAAACCACGCCCCGTAAAACTCTGAAAAGTTTTGTGAAGCCGCCATTGTATTTGCTGGCATTAGCATCATTAGCATTAGCCCCGCGCACCAACGCAGAGAGACTAACTTATGGCAACACAAAAGAAACATGGGAGCGGTGGAGATGAGGAGCTGTCGGCGTTCTGGCGATTTACTCGGAAGGCTTCAACTCCGGGGACTTCCGGCCGGGGACTTCGGGTGGCAGTATACGCCATAGATATATATAAACACTAGATGGCTCAAGGGGGAGTCGCCAGCGTGGCTCACTGGCGGCCATCTTGCCACAGTCAACAACTACTGCTACAGCTGTTGTAAGGTGAGGGATCTGCACAGAAATGCTCTTAACTCGCTGAAATCTTGACTGATTTACAAACGGTTCGGTTTATTATAAACGTTATTAGCATGGCTATGATACATGAGACAACAAGACATGTTGAAAAAAAAGGTTCATGATTATAATGATAAGTATGCAGTATCATAACTACATCTTTGATGTTCATAACAAACCAAACCGTTTGGAAATTGGTTGAAAATGGAGCAATCTACGGTTATTTCAATAGAGCACCAGAGACATGATGTTATGAATGAGAGCTGCCTGTGGCAAGATGGCCGCCATGTGGCAACGTCGGTCTCCATTGGCCAGCAGCGCGGGCGAGTCATCTCGTGTTTACATATATCGATGGTGAAGTTGTTTGCGGCCTGCCAGTAAACCGAAAGCAGAAGAAGAAGAAGAAGTGACGTCAGCGGCTTAATTTGCGTAATCCTCCCTCAGGCACTTACTCCGGTGTGAACGCGATCGGCTCTTAGTTCCATGGGGGCACTAATGGCACATTTCCACTGCAGCGGGGTAGCCCCGTTTAAGCGTGCCGAGCCGTGCGGGGCCCGTTTTTGGTTGCGTTTCCACTTGGCCTAGTTTTGGCCCGGGGCTACTTTTTCACCTTTTTTCTGGCCCGACTAAATCGTGGTTCTAGGGCCAGGAACAACCGGGCTGAGTCGGGCTGAGCATGCTAAACTAGAGAGAGAATCACTGGCAAGGGAGCTACAACTACAACAAGATGAACATATTTGACCGTGATTTAATTGTAATACACGTTTCAAAATGATGCCGAAGTAACAACATACTGATACCGGTTAGTAACAAGCATGAATTAATGCTTTGACAAGTCTGCAGACAGACGGCAGAGAAACACCTTTTAAAATGCGTGTTTTCTAAATGTAGCTTGGCTAAGCTAACGTTATATATGCTCCGACCGTCCACACTCACAACAACGGCCTACACAGACATAAATAAAGCAGCGACTGTATTCTCCATGACACAGACAGTCTGTGGTTTGTACTTGTTTAACTTTTGTCTAGTTTCTGAACAGATATGAGAAGCTGTGAGCTCTGAGTGCTAAGAGCTAACGGCTGTGTTGTTTTTCTGGAGCGCTCATTGAAGATGACGTCACGGCTCCGCCTACACTGCGTTACTATAGTAACTGCCCCAGTTCCTAAATGTAATGGAAACGCAGCATTAAAGTGAGCCGGGCCTAATAAGGCCTAACCAAACCGAGCGAGGCCTGCAGTGGAAACGCGCCATAAGTGCTGGGAACTAAGTACGGCAAAGTACTTGGTGTGAAAGCGGCTATTGATCCACTTGTGTTGGTCGTGTGATGCATCTAGAAGTGAAAAGAAGTCCTTTCTGTGACGAGGAAACACCTGTAACTCCTTCTTTTTACTTGTTATACCACACTTCTATTAAACGAACACTAAATCTGTCAATATTTATTTTATTTCTGGCAAAACTGCATCTTTTATCCCTCTGGAGAAACTGACGTACGATCTCAATCATACCTCGGACACTTGCTGTGAAAGCTTGTTTTCCTTCAGACTCGTTGGCTCCGACTGTTTGACGAGTGATATTTATGTTACGTTCCTGAACAATCAATCAGTCTCTCTCGTGTTTCTCTCTTACAGTCAGTTGAACTGTGTCTGTTGCTTAAAGGCAGGCTTCTGAGGTGTTTTTACTATCACTTTTCTGTTGTTCTTGCGGGGAATGAATGTCTTTTAGGTCAAATGTGCCTCTTTTTAAGTTGATTTCCAGTCATGCTGATAGTAAATATAGTCCAGTGCATGCCGTGTGAATCAAACACCAATCTATAAGCCATGAGGACTATCAATTTGAAAAGTGACCGTGTTTATATCTCGCAGGAATGATGTTATGTTATTAAAGCAGCTCTGAATGAGATTCCTCCTCCATGCTCTGTTTACCGGATTAATGATAAACAGAAAATCATCCATAACTTAGTTAGAGGTTAAAGGTCGTTGCTGCAGCAGGACCTGGGAACTTATTCTGTTAATGAATACAGACTCCAAACCACAGAGTATCTCAAATATATCTCAATATATATATGCCGTTAATAACTGTGTAATTTATACCTGGCTGCTAAATCCTTAGAATCGTTACAAGGTGTGTTTTTTGCATTTTGTATTTTGTAAATTGTGTAACTTGCTGCTGTTAAATACCATCAAACTATGTGCAATATGTACATTATTATATACATTAATAACTGTAATATATACCTGGCTGCTAAATCCTAAGAACTGTTACAGGATTTGTATTTTGAAAAGTATATATTTTTTAATATTTTGTATTATATCATAACTTAGTACTTTTTTTAAACATATGTAACATTAAGCTGTCTGTGGCTCCTTCCTGCTGTAACGATGCAACTGTCCCCTCTGTGGGACTAATAAAGGTATTCTGATGTCTGTCTGCAGCACAGAGGAGACAACCTGTGTTTCCTTTATTACCAACGACAGGCTGATATTTAAATGTAATACTATAAAAGATACGAGGGAAACAAAGCTTGGAAGATATGAGGTTTTCTATGCATGCTATGAAGATAATGAGAGGTTTTCAACTGACGAGACAATGAGGGGGAGAGAGGAGAAAGAAAGGTGGAAAGAAGGGAAGTCTAAAAGTGCAAAGACGAGGGTAGAAGAATTGGAAAATAATACGTCATCTGCTGGATTACATACTGGCAACAACTTCCTCAAATCTGTGTTGTTTGGACACTAAAATAGATCAAGAAGGAAAGAAAAGGCATGTACTGGGAAACAGAGACGTCACATTGCTCCATCGAGGAAAACAAAGCTTAGAAGATATTACATTACATTTAGCTGAGTAGATATCCGAGTTATTTCCATGCATGCTGGAAAGAAAATGATTATCTAAGAGAGGTTTTCAACAGGGAGGAGGATGAGACAGTGAGGGGGAGAGAGGAGCAAGAAAGGTGGAAAGAGGGGGGTCTAATAGTGTCCAAAGAAGAGAGTGTCCAATTAAATGATGAATGATATACTATGAGCAGAAGAGCTTGCATATTACATATTGGAAACATACTGGTGTTGTTTTGGACACTCAAATACACTAAGAAGGAAGGAGAGAGCAGAAAGGTCACATTGTTGGGACTTAAAAGATCAGAAGAAATGAAAATGTTTTTCTCAGAGATGTGAGCGGGGTGAAGGTCCATGCATGAGTTTCATTTAAAGCCTCGTCCTGCGGCGTTTGACAGAAATAGAATAACAGGTCCTATTCCTTTGAGAGAGAACGAAATGTAGTTCGAAGTGTAAAGAGGTTATATAATGCTGAGGCCTGAGATGAGGGTCTTCTCCTGGACTTGGTTTCCCCTCTTGATATGACTGACAGTCACATGACCGTCTTTCTCGTACATATACCTCAACACAAACCCATTTCTTTATGTATCTATTACGAGGTTTGTACGAAAAAAAAGATATCATTCTTATTCTTTCCCTAAAGGATGATTTAGCTTTGAATATTAGTGCATTAAAAGTACAGTAATAATAATGGATAAGAAGGTTTTTTATTGACATTTGAACCCAAGTGTAATATTCTACGTCTAGATTGGACTTGAATTCATTATTTGTGAATGTGTACTGTTGCGTTTAGAGAGCGCATCTTCTTTGTTTGAGTCGAATAGAAGAAGACGACGAAAAAGAAGACGAATAATGACATGCTGGTGACACGTGGAATAAAAGTCGTGTCTGTTTCCCGTGTATAACAACGTGTGGCATTGTCCAGCTGATGGACCATACATCTGTAATTGCACCGTTTTAGCAGGCCGTGTCGTGCACATGGGACAGAACAGCATGCTTTGTCTAGTGTGTTGATGGCACAACACATATATTAAAGCTCCCCTGTTATACTGTTTTTCATCAATATATTACAGGTCTCAGATATATAGAGAGCCTGTCTCTGATTGGCTGAAACACCAAACGGATCATTGCAGCATTACCCATAATCCCCTCTGTTTCAGCCCTGTTTCCAAAGTGCTGATTCTCTGTCTGTTACTTTAGATGAAAATAAGGAGCCCCTCCCCACGCCCCTCTGAGAGAGATTTGGTTACAAAGAACTCAAAGGTGCTCTAGGAGGAGATTCAGGTGATAAGGGGGGGGGTTACCTTGGTTGCTGATTGGCTAATGCAGGGTTCATACACTTTTTCACCAATGATTTTCAATGACTTCTCCATGACCGTTACCTAATTTTCCATGACCAAAACAATTACTCTTTCTCAGCGGTGCCACTGAAAGTGGTTTATTTTAACATGGAACAGGAAAATAAGTGTTGTGCCTATCTAACAAATCAAATAGGCTTAATAGCTTCTACACGCTAAAGCAACTAAAATCTCTCACCAGCAAAACACCTCGTCAGTTAAATGCCATTTTACGTTTCATTACTATACGATACAGTATTTATTATCATTATAGTATTACTATTTCGGTGATTAGATCAAATATAAATTATGTTTGATGCAACTTTAGTTACATTTCCATGACTTTTCCAGGGCCTGGAAATAGTGTTTTGAATTTCCATGACTTTTCCAGGTTTTTAATGACCGTAGGAACCCTGCTAATGGTTACACAAGCCAAAAAACGTTATGACATCATAAAGTGGCCAAAATCTGATCAGCTCATTTTCAGACAGGTTTTCATAGAATAGAATTGGGAGGGATGAAACCCTCTTTAATGGTCACACATGCAGAGCACACAGCAGGCAGGGCAGGAGGTGAACTGGGACCTCTACAAGTAGCACGCTCCATATTTAGGTCTGGTGGGGGACTTGAACCGGCGACCCTACAGCTCACAGTCCAAGCCCCTACGGACTGAGCCACTGCCGGATATAAATCGATCAGGACAGAAGGTGAGAGAATGTCTTTACTCAGAGGGGACACATGTTGATGTTTAAAAGACATGAAAAAGTGGATTTTGCATAATAGGTGACCTTTAAGAGTCACCTTTACTGTGACCTATGTGACAGTAAAGGGACTTTGAAGGGGGTATACTATGGAGGCCTCGTTCACCTGCATGATGAACTCCCGGCGGCGCGGCATCCCTCTCTCGGACAGCAGCAGATACTCCGGCTCCTTCTCCTTCTTGGCCTGCTGGATCTGAGCCAGGCGGCTGATGGGGTTCATGCCCTGCCCGTAATCTGGACCCGTCTGTGGGGAAGAGGAGACGCAGGGTGATCAATCCACATCCGCCACTTCACTTAGTGCAGGGGTGTCCAAACTCTTTTCCCCGAGGGCCACGTACAGAACAATATACGAAGGGCTGGGCCACTCACTAGAGGTATATCGCCTCGTAACTTCAGTTATAAGTCAAATAAGTAGGTCAATGATGCTTGTGAGTGTTGGCAGCTCATCCCTTCAAACAGAAGCCTCAGATTGATTATAATAAGGAGAAATAGGAAGGGTGTATTTCAAGCTTGTAAATAAGTTATTGGGCTTTTTTTCTTATCAACTAAGATTTGTTTCCAACTTCAATTGACTGAATTTATTTGAAAAGCGGTTTTATTAACACATGAATACTGTGTAATATATCTGTGCATATATAGTTAAGAAGTACAACATAAGACAAGCACAAGTTTCATTTGTGTCCGTTATACTTTTAGAATTAGCTGTGGGCCGATTCAAAATGTCCCGCGGGCCAAATGTAGTTTGGACACCCCTGACTTATTGTGTTGTCACCGTGGTGTGATCTACAGTATGTGTATATTCTGTATGTGAGGGAACAGAAGTGAGGTCATACTCATCTGCAACGGATAGATGCAGAGATACAGAGACATGTAGAATAACACAGGAAATTAGTGGGGGGAAGAAATCTCACAATATCATATTTTATACATTATTAAGAGGTGCTAAGAGGCAGAAATACGGCACGAAAGTCAAGCGTTTGTGACGTTGTTGTGTGTGTGAGTGGACGATTTGACCTATTTTATTATACAGTATGTACACACCAAAGCTAACTCAAATATAACGGTATCTGGAACGCAGGTATCCGCGGTTTTCTGATTAAAACATTCACAATGAATTGACGGGGCAATAGCAACATTTCCAAGTGACCCTACCTTGCAAAATAACCCTAATATCCTGAGAGCATCAGTAAGTGATAGATCTGGAGTGCCCTGCAGTACCTTGAGGATGGTCTTGGTGCGTTTCTTGTAGTGCGTCTTGGGTTTCTCCACGATGGGGATGAAGGGCAGCTTCTTCAGGTCCTGCAGGATGGAAAGAGCGGCGCGCTTCTTTGAGAGCTTCTTGCTGTTTCCCTCTCCTTCTGCGGAAAACTCCCCAACGCTGACACGGGTCAGAAAGCTCTTCATGTGCGGGGGGCCGCTCTCCTTCAACACCTGGGGACGGAGAAATGATTTGTCAATTTATTGAACATGTTAGAAATAAAACAAACACTAAGAATAATAATAATTATAACAAGAGAAGCAACATTTTAAAACGTTCAAGGTATAAAAAAATACATTTCCCTGTCGTGTTCAAAAGGGACAAGAAGAAGAAGGACTCCTCTGACGTACATCGTTCATGAAAATCAAAGTTGAAGTCATCGTCATCCGTGATACTTGATTCATTGTTTTAAACAAATCACTTTTTCTTTTATAACGGCAATAACGGCAAGCATCACTTCACAGGACGGGCTCATACCTTTCAGGGTTTGGTTTCTAAATAATAGTTTTAGTTTAGATAAAGTTCAGTATATAAAGGAGAGCTCCACATCGGTTTGTCCATTAGAGAGGTGATGTCGTTTCTATTCCTTATTTCAGGATAACAACCAAAAACACACTGAACTCCAGACCAGGGAACAGGAAGTGCTCAAATGCTGACTCAATTCCCTTGTTTTAGGACTCATTCCTGCACCCCTCTCCACTGGGATGTTTTTCAGATTTAGGACGAAGAACAAAAGACAAACAACTGGATGTTTTAGTCATGATATGTGTGAGGGAGTGTGTGCAGCGCGCTCTGCAAGCAGCTACACCAGGTGGTCCGAAACATCTGTTCTTGATGGTCACAGTGCTACCCACCCATATGCACACCACACACACACACACACACTGAGGAAGAAACACACGCATGAAGAGGAACACACTCCTAGATGTCAGTCTCTAGTGATGAGGGCTCAGTTTCCTTCCTCCAGGCTCCGGTCACCTGGGAGACCTAAAACAAACACCGGCTGGCGTTAGGTCATGCTTCTGCAATCACATCTACTTCCTGTGAAGTCCGAGAGGGTGTGTGTGTGTGTGTGTGTGTGTGTGTGTGTGTGTGTGTGTGTGTGTGTGTGTGTGTGTGTGTGTGTGTGTGTGTGTGTAGCAGGTGGGGTTCTCCAAACCTTATTTAGAGAAAAACACACTGCAGGAAGAATTAGATTTCTCACACTTCGCGAGTCAAACTGAACATGTTCTGCTAATGTTTGCACGCTTTCTCCGACTCACAGCTGAGTGTGTCTTCAGACTTTCTCCCCCTCTAACTCCCCCTCCCTCTCTCTCTCTCCTGCTCTCCTTTATTCGAGTGGTGCAGACAGCACAAATTGAAGCAATCAGGTGCAATCTAGCAACAGTTCATTTGAAACCACCGAGCGATAAAAACAGATTAAACTGATAAGCAGAACGTGGAGCATTCCTCAGATACTCCACACATCAACACACACTAATAGCAGAGCTTCAGGAGGACAAAGCAGTGTGTGTGCACTCATCTACTACACAAACACACAAAATCTCCTCTTGTTTGAATGAACAATGAGAGCCTGGTGCATGGAAACCGAACTACAGCTGCAAGGAAAGGTCCATGAAGCGATCGACAGGAAATGTAATGACGATAGTTGAAAAATCGATTAATTGTCAGTAATCCACTGAAATGTCAGAAAATGCAGTTTTCAGCTTCACAAATAGGGACAGTTGCTGCTAAAGTGAATACGTTTGAATTTTGGACGAAAGAGTCACTTTAAAGACATCGCCTTGGACTTCCAAAGAAGATGGTTTTCCTTTTGTCTGGTTATTTCATAGACAACAGCAAATGGATTATTTTGAAATAACTTCCAGTCCAATTCATCCCCCTAAACTAAAGCAGAGTCCAATTCATCCCCCTAAACTAAAGCAGAGTCCAATTCATCCCCCTAAACTAAAGCAGAGTCCAATTCACGAGGAAAGGTTCAGACATAGGCTAACTGTGAGCATAACATAGATAAAACACCCAGTCATTTACTTGCTGTGAAATTAACTCTAACTTGAATAAATACAGGTGAAAAAGGAGGTTATAATTCTGTTCTCCATCCTAACTTTACCTGCTCAGGTAGCTGCAGGTTTCAGGTGTTAACAGAGCCGTCAGTCTACCTGTCAGCGTCACAGAGTGTAACCTGACAGTAAAGAGGTGTGTTGGAAACGACACTAACAGCCTACTTGCTCTGATCTTGCTCATCACCGGAAAAAGGAACAGTAACACGGCAGCTTCTGGTACGTTTCACTACAGCTGGTTACATCCCGTTTCTGATCTATTGTCGCTCGTCACTGATCAGCTGAGCTCAGGTTACTTGGAATATCTTTGAGCTATTAACGGAATATAAATGTAATTGTTGTTGGTGATAAAACAGCATGACTGATGAGAAGGACAGGAAGCAGAATCAGCTGTGCTCAATGTGAAGGTCTCCTATTATGCTATTTCTAGGCATATATTCTGGGTCTCAGATATATAATACAATATAAAAACATGTCTATGAAGTGTTTTGCTCAAAATACCAAACAGACCATGCATTTTAGACATCCCTCATAACCCTCTATTCCAGTTTTCTGAAACGTTGTGAGTTCCCTGACACCCTGGGGACACACATCATGTATGTATGAAAGACATCAAAAAGTGCCCTTTAAGGAATCAGCTTTATAACAAGGAACTCATTTATTTTTCTACTTATTCACTCCTTCAATATTTCTCTCTGTCCGTGACAGGCTCCTCTAATGCTTTATCAATATGGATTAAAGCATACTGCCAACGGAATATCGTTTAAATGTGAGAGAACAGGAGGGTAAGATTAGAGAGGGTCAGTAGAGAGGGTCAGTGACAGTAAAGGAAGATGGTATTTATGTCCAAAGTTATCTCAGAATTCATTATCAGATTTTACGTAGCCCCTCTTAAAAGTTAAAGTAAACAGCTGCAATCAAGAAACTGTTGTTAAGATGCAGGAAAACATGGATTAGATGAGATATATGCATTGCTAGATTAATAACAAAGAGATTAAATAATGTCTTTATATATGCATTGCTAGATTTTTTTTTTTTTAAATGTATTCTACTAAAATCATACAAAAATAAAAACGTATAATTCATACACACAAATGAACAAAATGAGTAGAAGCGGGAGGGCTGAAGCTTATGGGGAGTAGCTCCCGTGCGTCATCATTAGCATCAATATAATAATGGCACTTATTTCGTCAAAAACGTATAGAAATTAAGGAGTACAAAAAAATAAAGAAAACTGGACAAAAATAAATAAATAAAATAAAAGTAAATGCATATATAAGTAATACTGGGAATATCAAATACTTATAAATATAATTGTTTTTACTTTAGTTTTGAATTGTTGATGACTAGTAATACTTGAAAGGTCTGGGTGAAGTCCATTCCACGTTCTAACTCCGATTATGGATCAGCTGTGTGATTTGTGTATCGACAAAGAGATGAAATAATGTCTTTTGGCACATTATATTACATTTGTTGTTTAAATATGACGATTGTTTTGCTTTTAGGAGCCTCTGATGCATGTCTGTGATTGTGAGTATGGCAACGAGCGAAGACTCCAGAAATGAACCCTTCCCCACTTAGAAATGTAAAACATTGATTTGACAATTTAGAGTTTTAAGCTGTCTGCTTATCCAAGGCACTCTGGGATGGACGAGGGTTGCACTGATGAGTCTCACTTCTAAAAGATGGAATAGCAACAGGAAGTAAAGAGAATCAGATGTGGCCTTCACACATCCAACAAAGACCAAGAGACAGAGTGTGTATCTGCGCACACACACACGTCACACACTCTTGGCCCGGGATGGCGGCAGACGAGCGGCAGTCAGTCTCCTGGCAGACGACACGGGATCTGCGCCACACCGATGGGATTTCAGCACTTCCACACACACACGCAAACAAACACACAAACACACCCGTCTCCCGCCTCATCACCAGGATCAGGTTGTGCACAGGAAACAAATCGCTTCATCTCTTCTGTTGCCTTTTCATGCCGACATTAATACCCCGGCAGACCTCAGGTACTCTGAAGAGGAGGCATGGGAGCAGAGGAGGACAATGGAGGGGATCGAGAGAGGGAAGAAAGGCTTTTTGTGGACGGACAAGCCCTGAGGGAACTTCTCCTTGTAAGACAGGAGGGTTTTTGGCGCTCTTCTCTCGTGTCCCGGCTGGAAAGCGAGCCTCCGATCCAACACACAAGCTGTGATTTATAGATTGGTTCCTCTTTGATGCTGACATCTGTTTGATATTGCCTGACGGGGGGATTAAATGAGCCAAACGGCCTCTCAGGGTGGCGGACGGATGGGAAAGCAGACACTAGAAGAGGTGACTCATGGGTAATTTCAGGAGATGATGTGAAAACATGGCCGCTGAGAAAGAGGCTCACATGAGAGATGGTCAGAGGTGGAGTACAAATACTTTGTTATGTACTTAAGTACATGTTTCTGGTATCAGTACTTTACTCCACGTCTTATTTTCCTGACGACTTTTTACTTTGACTTCTTACATGTTGAACTCAAATACCTGTACTTTCTACTTCTTACATGTTGAACTCAAATACCTGAACTTTCTACTTCTTACATGTTGAACACAAATACCTGTACTTTCTACTTCTTACATGTTGAACTCAAATACCTGTACTTTCTACTTCTCACATGTTGAACACAAAATCCTGTACTTTCTTACTTCTACATGTTGAACTCAAATAACCTGTACTTTCCTACTTCTTACATGTGAACTCAAATACCTGTACTTTCTACTTCTACATGTTGAACTCAATACCTGTAAACTCAAATACCTGTACTTTCTACTTCTTACATGTTGAACTCAAATACCTGTACTTTCTACTTCTTACATGTTGAACCCAAATACCTGTACTTTCTACTTCTTACATGTTGAACACAAATACCTGTACTTTCTACTTCTTACATGTTGAACTCAAATACCTGTACTTTCTACTTCTTACATGTTGAACTCAAATACCTGTACTTTCTACTTCTTACATGTTGAACACAAATACCTGTACTTTCTACTTCTTACATGCTGAACTCAAATACCTGTACTTTCTACTTCTCTCATTTTCCAAACAGCTGGTTCCTTTAGTCTGAATGTGTGTT